CTAGCTGCCTCAGTACTCAATTTTTCCCCATAAAACATACCACCATCTAACACGGTATGTCTCATAGTTATTTATTTTGCTTTTTTATCTGTCTCTTTCCCTTGCCCCCCTGCCAATTAGACTGTAAGTTCCATGAGGGTAGTCAGTACTCAATACATTTCTGTTGAATGAATGAATGGATGAAATAAATGAGTGATGTATTCTCCCATCCTCCAGCGGAACTCTCTATATCACCTTTAACTCCTCTATCTCAACTCTCACTCTCCACGTCTAAATTCATCCGGACTTACTCACTCCTCATTTCTGATTGCCTCTGATCCATCCCTTCCTCCTTTTGGTCATGGCTACCACCACCATTTTGCCCAGTGACCCCTGAATTAGCTTCCTAAATAGTCTCCCTGCCTTGGCTCTTCCCTCAGTACATCCTAAATTGTCACTGTCATGTTAATGTTCCCAAAAACATCACTTTGACAACGTCTCTCCCCAACCGAAGAAAAGGGAAAAAAACCACAAAGGTTTTGAAAGATGAGATCATGAGTGATGTTTATCTTCCTCTTCATACTTTTCCATTTTTTCTGATTTTTCGTCATTAAAGATAAACTCTCTTTCTTATAACAAGTTATTGAAGATGAAACACCCAAATGGTTCCTTCTTGCCTACATGAATGCCCTCCACAGTGTGGTCCCCACTGCCTGGATGTCCTCAGTTCCTCTCTCCTCACCTCTGAACCGTCTTCATCCCTCTATGCGCAGACGAGGCTGAACTCTGACCTGAACTTCAGTGAGAGAGTCTCCCCGGATCCTGTGAAAGGAAGCCAGATGCACCAAGGAAATTCCAAGGCATGAGGGACCACAGACGCAGTCAGACGGAAGACGTATGTCAGAGTGGCAAATGTGACCAAGCCAGGATCCCCAACGGCAAACACGAGGTCTCAGTCCCATTCCTTGCTCCAGCCTCCTGAAATTCCTTGTCCGCACTCTGGTATACTTCATTTGAATTTGGAATGTTGCCCTGATTTTTCTCATTGCTTACTTTTTTAATACTTGCATGGTCATTGTGCGTCACTGCTCAATAAACTATAAGAAATCTAAAAACACAAGTCCTCTTCTGATGATAAATGAAACTGATTTTTTAGAGCCATTTGGATTCACCAGAAACTACTGCCTTTTAACACGTGTCTGAACTCTTACCAAATTATCTTTAGGGCTTTGGGCTAGAAAGCAAATTGCATTATGTTCTTCTAAAAGTACATCCTTCCAGAATTATCTGTAATCCCTTCAGAGCAATCTTTGCAAGTCACTACTGGAATACATAATGTTATCAATTGTATTAGGTCGTAGAGTCACAGGGCTGGAAGAGAGCGAGAGAAGTGACAGATCATAGATCTGACAGATCCCAACTGTCTTCAAAACCACATCTTAGCTAAGCCAGAAAATAAAGGACCAAATGTGTTTGTTCCAAAACTACTTCCTGCTCCCACCTGCCCAAGTTGTAAAAATATTTTCACATAGAATGACACCAAATCCATAAACATTTAAATTTAAAAAGGGGATTAGGGAAGAACTTTCCAGTGCTGGGATCTGAGATTTTCCCCTTACTGTGCACATCCGTAGGAATCACGTGTAAAAACTCTGAAGCCAGCCCCACCCTTTCTGCTCCTCTTGTCACTAGGTTATCAGACAGGGTTAGCCACCGGGAGCCAAATCTAGTCAACTGAGTTGACCCCCACCCAAGTGCCCATGACAGAAGCAACCAGAAAGAAGAGACAGACTTTGTGCACTTATATCAAAACAATGGCTTCTTATCACCAAGGCCAGACTCATTCCAACTTGAGCAAACGCTAAGAAGCAATTTTTTAACAGGGTGAAAGCAAGTCAGGCCCTATCCTAAAATGAAATGTACGTCAGGAGTCCCAGTCTCACCTTTGTTGCCACCACTCTCCCCACCCTCCATGCTTGCTTTTCCACCTCTCTCCTTGGACGGTCAGACCTCAATGAACCTCCCACCACCCCTCAGTCAGAGCAGTGGGAGAGATGCTTTCCAGGTCCATTCACTCAGCACATGTTTTTGAGCACCTCACTGCACTGGGCACTTCACAAGGATATTCTCTTCTCTGATCTTCACTGCGTGACTCTGATATGGGCACTATGATGAGCCTCATTCAGCCGACAAAGGAACTGAGGCACAGAGAAGTTCAGTATCTTGCCCAAGGTCCCAAAGCTAGTAAGGAGTAGGTGAAGCCAAGACTTGAACCCAGGAAGTCCAACTTCAGTGGCCATGCTCTTAGCTTGCTTCATTCAGCCCCTCAGAGGCCTAGGCCTCCTCGTTGCTGATGGCAGCAGTGCTAATGTCAGGAAGAGGGAGAAGGGGCTGTAAGGAGAGGACCTGACCTAGCCTGGGGGTCGAGAACAGCTTCTCCAAAGGCGAGACATTGAAATTAAGGCCAGTAGATAGGAGAGTCAGCCTTAGAAAGAGGTAGGGAGGAACGTTTCAACCCAGGAAATGCATTCATTCATTCATCCAGGTTATGATGCCAAACTGCCAGTGAATGCTGCTTTCTCAGAGGCTTTGGCATCTTCAGCCTATTCCCCGGGCAGGAAGCAGAGATTGCTATTCATGCACCCATTAACCCTATAAATACGTATATATTTTTATTGAGGTCATAATAGTTTATAACATTGTGAAATTTCAGTTGTGCATTATTATTTGTCAGTCACCATATATGTGCCCCTTATGCCCACCTCCCAAACCCCTTCCCCTCTGGTGACTATTAATCTGTTCTCTTTGTCCACGTGTTAGTTTATGTTCCACATATGAGTGAAATCATGTGGTGTTTGTCTTTCTCTGTCCGGCTTATTTCGCTTAACATAATCCCTTCAAGGTCCATCCATGTTGCGCAAATGGGACAATTTTGTCTTTTTTATGGCTGAGTAGTATTCCATTGTATATATATATCACATCTCCTTTATCCAATCATCAGTCAGCGGGCACTTGGGTTGCTTCCACATCTTGGCTATTGTGAATAATGCTTCAATGAACATAGGGGTGCATAAGTCTCTTTGAATTGTTGATTTCAAATTCTTTGGATAGATAGCCAGCAGTGGGATGGCTGGGTCATATGGTATTTCTATTTTTAATTTTTTGAGGAATCTCCATACTGTTTTCCAGAGTGGCTGCACCAGTTTGCATTCCCACCTGCGGTTTATGAGGGTTCCCTTTTCTCCACATCCTTGCCAACATTTGATGTTTTTTGTCTTGTTAATTATAGCCATTCTAACAGGTGTAAGGTGATATCTCATTATAATTTTTTTTTTAAAGATTGGCACCTGAGCTAACAATTGTTGCCAATCTTCTTTCTTTTTTTTCCTGCTTTTTCTCCCCAAATTCCCCCAGTACACAGCTGTATATTATTTAGTTGTGGGTCCTTCTAGTTGTGGGATGTGGGACGCCACCTCAGCATGGCCTGATGAGCAGTGCCATGTCTGCACCCAGGATCCGAACCAGTGAAACCCTGGGCCACCAAAGAGGAGCGCATGGACTTAACCACTCAGCCACGGGGCCGGCCCCCTTATTGTAGTTTTGATTTGCATTTCCCTAATGATTAGTGATGTTGAACATCTTTTCATGTGCCTGTTGGCCATCAGTATATCTTCTCTAGAAAAACGTCTGTTCAGATCCTCTGCCCATGTTTTGATCGTAACCCTATAAATACTTATTGACCCCTTTGCTATGCATCGTTAACCTGGGGAATCAAGAGCTGCTGGAGGTTGTTTGGCAGGTGGATGCGAACTCTTCCTTTTCTTCCTGAGATCTTCACACGAAGGTCACCCGGCAGGTGAGGCCCACTCTGGGTGAAGGTCCTTCCCTTGATTTATTGGTAACTAATACCCTCTCCAAAGAAAGAGGCCAAGTGCTCCTGACTCTTGGCTCCCACAAAGTGCAGAGCAATGGGTGAGCTGTCATCTAAGCCACTCTGTATGGCTGAGTTCTGGGGAGGAAGCTAACCCAGGGGACAGATGGAAGGGATGGCTCAGCCAAGCAGCCCGCCCTCTGGCTCCCTGTGACCGCCCAGGGTTTGATTTACAGAGTTAAAAATCAGACCATATGGGAGGCTCCGTGATCTCGTATTCTGTGCTATTCCAGGTAGCGGTTATATGGGTGTGCTCACTATGTAAAAATGCATCAATGGTGTATCTTCTATATCTTTCATATACTTGAATTTAAAAGTTTATTTAAAATATCAGGCAATGCAGTTTACTTTCTGGTTATCAGCATTATGGGAAAAGATCGTATTTGAACTGAAAAGGACTTCTGAGAGCAGCTAGTCCGACATTTACCAAAGTGTGTTCCATGGAACCTTGGCCCCAAGAGATGTTCTGCCAAGAAGAAGTGGATTATGGGTCAAGTAAAGTTGAAAATGCTGCATACTATTTATTTTAGGGATTTACAATATCAGCTTCAAAACTGAGCTCATCGGTCTCAACACATCCCTGTCACCACCATCTCATCAATATTCTCCAGGTCAACATCACTTGCTCCATATTCCAGGAATGGGTCCCAGGATCCACCCAACGGCACGAGCTGGAAACCTGGGAGCTGTCTCTGACCCCTCTCTTTCCCTTACTTCTTGCAGTTACATCTCCAAATTTGTTCTCACATCTGTCTGCTTTTGCCCCATTTTCACTGCCATCACCAGCATCTCTCTTCTAAAACACTGGAGGCCTCCTAACAGTTCTGCCTCCATCAACCTGTTCTCTAACAAAGCAGCCGGAAGGATCTCTGCACCACGGAAACATCAAACCCCTGGTTAAAACCTTCAACAGGTTTTCGTCTCCCTTAGGATAAAGTCCAAAATCTCCGCAAAGGCTTCTAAGTTCCATAATGATCCGGCTTCAGGCTGGACTTTCACCAGTTTCCTTGACCTTCCACACCCTCTCCCTCAGCGGCAGTTGCTCTTTTCTCTGCCACCCCCACCCTCAACCTGGGCAGCTCCTACTCACCCATCAGCTCTCGGCCTCCGGAGGGCTCCCCACGCCGTGGCCCCTGAGCCCCCGCACAGCTGGCTGGAAACTGGCCTCTGCCTGTCAGCGTGTGTCTTCCACGCAGGATGAACTCTGATGGGCAGAGACTGTGTCTTGGGAGCTCCACCTGTCGTGATGCCTGGCTCAGGAGGCATTCCAGAGATGCTTCTGAATAAATGAGAATATTAAAGGTAAAATAAATACAAAACCCTTGTACACTTTACAGAACTCAGAACTTCCCAAACAAAATTGTCCACAGAATTCTTTTCCCACTCAGCCCACCAAACTCGTACTCCTCAGAGTCCTCAGGGGAAAAGTGGATCCAGCTCAGGTCTCTCATTTTACAGACGATTCTGAGGCCCCTCGACGTGAAAAGAACGACCCAAAGTCATTGAGCACGTTAGTTCTCGAAAGAGCGCAGTTTGTTCTCAGAAAATAACCTACGGCATAGTAAAATTTAACTAATTTGAACACTACCTGGAGCTGTTTTAAAGCTAAGAAATACCACAGAAATTCGAAATTCTAATTAAGGGAAGAGGGAAGCCAAGCAAAGAAGAGGAGAAGCTGGTTTCTCATTCACACTGAAATAAAATTGATTTATTAAGGAGCTAGAAGAAAAGTAAGAGTGAAACTGAGAAGAAAGTGTAGGTGAATATTTAACTGAATCCCCACTGGGAAGAACTTTAAACGGGAAAGCAATGGGAGAAACCATGCGGGAAAAGATGTGACGAGTGACAATCAGCCAGAGTCATCTCACTCCCGTGTGTGGCCCACCTGACCCACACAGTGCCTGCTTCTCTAGCCCTGTAAACAGAGCTGCTGATGCTCAACCAGATGGCTGACAAAGAGAAGGAGGTATTGTTAGCATAAGCGCAGGAAAATAGAGAAGCTTTGGGTAACGTGAAAGGAAAACAGGACTCAGATGCAATGTTCACTGATTATTAAAATTAAAACTCTGGACAAGCTAACTCGATGGTCGTTAGTTAATGAATTCAAATGAACCTTTATGGAGCGTGCATGACATGTGCCAGGATTCAGATTACGTGCCTTTGACCCCTGCAGGAATGTCTCTGAAGGAGAGAAAGGGGCCCGGGGTAAGGAGCAGCATTTTGGTGGATTAGCATCTAGCGTTTTAAGCTCAGAGAAGGTACCCGCTGCACCTGTTACAGGATGTGGCCCCGGAGGAGTTGTTTACTCTCTGATTTATCTACCTGATGAAATTGTTTTGAGGTGAAGTGAATGGTTCAGCTCCTAGCATAGCTCTTGGCAGGGAGGTAAGTCTTAATAACACCTTAAAGTGAGCCAACTTAACTTAGGTACTGCAGACCTAGGACTAAGACCTAGTCCCAGCAGATCTATGGGCTAAACTCCTCTCCCCCCACATACCCCTTTAACCTCTTTGATCAGCACTTGTTCCAATATTCCGTATTATTTCCTTTAGGTCAGCAGAGGAGGAAAAAAGCCTTTCTTCTACCCTCTCACGTTCAGTGTCCAGGGGCCTGTGAATTAAGCCTTCTCACTCTAGGAAGAAAACAAAGCACAGTTTATTTACATGTGTAGTGCTCACACCTGTGGGAGTGCTCTAGGATGAGTAACTCAAAGGGGTAGTTAGAATTTGGAGCTCACATACCTAACTCAGCAGAGAGGGCATTTATGAGTAGACCCACCCGAAAGAGGGAATTTATGGCCAACTTATTTCCCAGAAGTTGCTGCTTTTAGTCAGATAAGGGAAACTTCGAGAAGGCTTCTTTCTTCATCTGTTGATTCTCAATCACTTCAAGGTCAAAATAATTTTATACCAAAGTGGCATATTTGAGGGTGGCATATCCTGATTCCCTTCAGGCCCAATGCATATTACAAACGGGGGAAAAAGCTGATGCGTTCAACCAATTTCTAAAGATAAAGTTACCAGTAATGCAGTAAAAATGAGATAATATAAAGAAACATGTAAACTATTATACAAACTACAATGCTTACTTTTACATAAACTGCCACCTTAGTCAAAAGACAAAACTCCCAAATTTATAAGGATGTCACCAGAGCAATTATTCACCTTTGGAATACAATGTTTGACAACATTCCTAATATCTTTCTTAATCTGCTGCCTTTTCTAGATTACATGTATTTTAAAAAATCACTGAGTCAGCGAGCTTAGACTTCAGCAATCTCTAAGTTTTTCGTACCACCATTTTCCCAAGGGCAATTTTAAAATATCTTAATATCTTAAATTTGAGGTTTTCTTCATTTTTGTGAAATTCTCAACCCAGCTTCAATATTCCCAATTTACAAAGTTTTTCTCACTCATCACAATAGGTAATTAGAAAGTCAGCTCAAGTCTTTTTCTGAACAATTTCCTGGTTTTGACTTTACAGGAAGAGAACAGTAAGTTTCTAGGAAAACCCTATGAAGTGTGTTGAATAAGAGCTTTATTTTGACTAAGCGCAGGAAATCTATCAACATTTCTGGGGCGTAATTCATATCTGACAAATAAAACAGAGGCCCAGCCCCACGTCCTTAGCCGAAACCCTCTCTCTTAAGGAAAGCAACTTCATGTTTTCCTTGGCAATGTTTTCTATGTGCAAAAGACTTCGTGGGCAATCTCCTCTCAATTTGTCCTTAGCTTGCACTATAAATATTTAAAGTTTCCAAAGGTCACCAGTGGTTTGCGTTTTCCCAGTCAGTTCTTGAATAGGAATACCCCGGCCCCATGGTGGGTTGAGAAAAGATGAGTAAGTGATGGAGGATTTAAACTGCTGAAGAACTCCCAGAATAGGGTTTTCAGGCCACACGGGGGTTCCTGGGTAGCATCCATAATCACCCGAGGGAAAGAGGGGGTCTGGCTGGAGGCACCTGTTTGACTCCTGCCGACTCACTCTTAATCCCTAACCGGTAGAGACCCGTGTGCAGCAGACATCGGGATTTCCGGGGAAGGGGCTCCAAACGATGAAAAGATGAAAGGCGGGGCCTGCCAGTCCCGGGAAGGGGACCGGCGGGCGGGCGCCCCTCCCTCCCCGCCCGGCTTCCGCGCGCTCCGCGTGCGCACAGTCCAGACGCGGCCACGCGCTCCTGCAACGGACACGAAACCGGACAGCCGGCCGAGCAGCCCGGCTCGAGGCAAGCGCGTGACTCGGTTTCCTCATTTTTCAGCGCGGCCCGGCCCAGTGGAGCAGGGCGCGGACTCGCAGCCCGGCCGTCCGCACCCTGCCCAACCCGCCGCGCTCCGAGCCCTCGTGGCTGCCAACCACCCGCCGGGTTTACTTTCATATTTGGCTAGGCGCTACCCACAATGCATTTGTAAAAATGAAATGCAAAAAAGGTTATGATTTACATAATTCTTACAAACTCTACTTTTAAAAGAGCGATTTGTTTACATTGTATTTAATCCTGGAGTTTTACACATCTTAATTTTCACCGTCGTGACATAGGCCGCGGAAAGTCTCCTTACTTAGAAAAGAGGCTGCATGGGAACTATAAATAATCAGAGACACACGCTCATTTATAGTTGGTCCGAAGGTTGTGGGTTATTGTTAAACTGATTAACATTGTCTCCCCCCACAACCGTGTTTGACTGGCTGCGTGTTTTGCCTTCGTCAAGGACGGTGGTTGACAGTGTTCACATAAATTAATCAAAATGCACAGGAAAGTGATTTTAGCGTATGATTCGAGTAGGTAACGGCTTTCAAAATAGAGTAGTTCGTTATGGCTTTTTATAGCAAAATTAACTTTCCAGCGCTATTTATGCGTTAACCTTCAACATGCATAGAAAAAATACAGAAAGAATAACTTTGTTTTAATTAACTTTAAACTTATTAAAGCATGTATTTGGCTTTTAGAAATCTTATAATTAAGATTGTTAACTCGTGGTTAAACGGCGATGCATTTCTCATGATAAATGAGAAGGAAGGAGGGAAAACCCGATTGAAGAACTTTCCTTTCAAAGAGACATAGCACAGTCTCGTGTGTCTTATGTGTATTATAAATACAAATACATCTTTATAGACAGATAGAAAAAGTATATCAAATTACTAACAGTGTTTACATAACTCGGGAGAGGGATTTCAGACAAGGGCATTTAAAGAAATTTTCAAAATAAAAAAAAGATAAAGTTTGTTGCTATAAATTTAATAATTTTGTAGGTCTCTGTGAATGAGTAGATAATGTACATTTTTTTTTGCATTGGCTTCTTTATTTGTTTCATATATGAAGTACATAGGTTCACAGACCCCAATCGATATCCAATTTAAAACCAGGAAGGAAAGGAGGTTGTAAGTCAGTTTCCACTCTGTGGCAAGGCTTCCTGACTCCCCATTCATCCATCCTTTCTGTCTGCAGTTGTCAGACGCCGGCTGTCATCAGATTGGTTCAAGTGCTGTAATCCTTTAGAGTTTACACTAAGATTCAATCAACAGGTTCCGACACACTGGCTTTCTTCATTAACAAATAAACTCGACTGCTTTGTTGAGAAATGTGCACCCACTATCGTAAATGTGCTAAAAAAGAAAAGAAAAAAAACTTGACAACATTGGAGGGAAGGCTCTAGCTTTACTATATCTTGAAAGACAAAAAAGGGCATCATCATTTGTTCGTAAGGACCGTTCTTATGTGGGGAGAGCCTCCTAGGGAGAGCTCACGTTCACAGGCTGGTTGGAGGTCTTTGGAAACTGGTGCTTTGTGTCAGTCAGCCTTGTTGAACTTAAGTATTAAGTTAAATCCTGAATTAAAAAGCATTAAGATACAAAGTCCCCAAATTCTGGGCGACTGGTATTCTAGAAATGTTAGAATACCAGGATCTTGTTCAATGTTGTAAACATGATGGGCACTTCAATATCTGTTTCAGATGACTAAACAAAACCTGTCAGAAGCGAGGTCCATCGTGAAGGAAATGGACTGGAACTAAGCTCTTGCTTATGTAATTTCAACCCATGATCCAGGCCCAAGATGACAGTGAGTAAGATCATGTGCTTAGTGTCAGATAATTTTTCCACAAAAATATCTTTATCATAGAAAAAATGATCCTTACAAAATAATGAAAATTTTAAAAGACAATTGGATATATATACATACACACGGAGAAAGAGAGAGAGAGAGATCTTATTGAGATGAGTGTTATTATTCAAGCTTGGCACTCCAGGGAATTATGCAATGATCCTGGCTCCTGGTATTCATGCCCTCGTGTAATCATCTTTCCTTGAGTGAGGCTGGAACTTATTGACTCATTTCTAAGGAAAAGAATACGGCAAAAGTAATGGGGTGTCACCTCCAAGATTAGGTTGAAAAAAAGCTGTAGTTTCTCCTGGGGTCCTCTCAGTCTCTCCCATTTGCTCTGAGGGAAGCCAGCTGCCACGTAGAGAGCAGCCCCATGGAGAGGCAAAGGACCGTGTAGGCAGCCAACAGCCCATCAGGCCCGAGCCACGTGAGCCTGGAAACAGATCTCTCCCCGCAGGGCCTTGAGACGCCCGCAGCCCTGGACCACATCTCCATCTCACCTGGTCAGAGACCCTGAGCCTGAGCACCCAGCTAACCCTGCCCAGATTCCTGGCCCACGGATATTGTGAGCAAATAAATGTCAGTTGTCCTAAGTTCCTACGTTTGGGGTTAGTTTGTTATGCAGCAATAGATAACTGATACATGCATTTTACCAAAAAGTGCAGTGACTGCTTAGGCATATTTGGAAGCCTTCTGTTCTGAGAGCCTCCTTCAGAGTCGAAGTGTGAGCCACACAGGAACATGGCTGTTACTTTATCACACCTCGTTTTTGCCGAGAACATACTTCCCAACTTGTTCTCATCACATTCACCATCCATGACTTTGACGGACTTTGGGCTACTGTAAAAAGCAAGTCTGCCATCCAAAGAGGAAGATTCCTGCCATGAAGAATACTAAAAACACCTGCCGTGGCTTCTGAGGACAACTGCGCTTGGTTTCAGATATGTTTTGACCAATGGCTACATGATTGGAATAATTCTTCCAAGGTGATCAGTTTAAAAGGGATAATACTTGGCATATTTAATGCACAAGTTACTCAATGTGTGAGTTCTGTGTTTATTTATTTAGTGTCTAACAAACATAGGACACGTCCCACTCATGATTACTCTGTGTGGTAGGTGCTATTATCCCTGTTTTATAGATGGGGAAACTGAGGCAGAGAGGGCTTGCCTGGGGCAGAGCAGGAATCTAACCCAGGCACTCTCCTTTGGGTCTTTGCTCTTTACTACAAAGCTATCTTGCTCCTGTTGGTTGGCTTTGTTTTCTAGTTATATCTCATCTAATAACAGGTTCAAGACAGTAACAAAGCTCAGTTAGTTTCTTATTCATTGTAATAAAATTTTCATCTCTACTCAGATAATATTTCAATTCAATGGGTTTAGAAAATATACAGAATATCAAATTGATGTTCCTTCGTATATTCTCTTGCAAGAGAAGGGAAAGAAATCAGAGCTTCTGTCTTTGGTCAAATTTAGGAAGGTACAGGCTCAAAAGAGAAAATTAAGATTTTGGTCTTTATGCAATACCCGATGACTATTTCTGTTTAATTACTAACATATCAGACTTCGAGCAGAGCTTTCCACTCATTTGGCTAACCCAGGTCTGATGGGTCCGACCGCAATGCTGGGGACGCTCACGCCGGTTTTGGAGTGTGGCTTCTGGGAAGAGGGCATTATGGCGGCCGCCCTGTCGAGACCTGAGAAGAACTACTGAGTTCCAGCAGCGGCTTCCTTTACTGATAAACCTCCCCTTTCATTTCCTTCTTTTGTCTGTGAGGGAGTCCAGCTGAGTCTACCTCCTCCAGCCATAACCAAGAGAAAGGTCCTGCTGATTCGGTTTCCTGGGACCAATCTCTCGCTTCAGTCTGCTCCTTCCTCCTGGGAACCACCAAAGACCCTCGTTTATACCTTACTGTATGTTGTCACTTAGCATGTCCTTTGTTGTTTTATAATAATTGTAAGCGTATTTTGTGTCCCCAGGTAAATTAGAACCTCTTTAGTGGTGCTTATACAATTATATTAGTTTCATTAGCCTCACAGTGCCTTGTGCATAGGCATCACTTATTTAAAGAAATGAGTGAACAATTTTCCATTTCCAAGGAGCCGTGTTATCAACCATAGACGGGATCTAGCCTGGCTTCAGAAGTCATGCAAGCAGCAGAAGATGCTCTGCCCTTCAAACTGCTGCAGCCAACCTTTTGAAGACTCCAAACTGCTAGGAATATCAGTGAAACTCGGCAGGACTGAGGATCGGTAGTGAACTTGACCATGCTGATGAGTTCCCAGACTCCTAGTTATTGGACACTATTATTTAAGAATGGTTACTTGATTTGTATGCATTAGTGCATTATTTAGCAGGATAAATAATTGCACTCAGGGACTTTTTTGATTCAAGTGCACATTGTTTAATCCCTAAGAACCGGAATTCAAAAAGGATTCCATGTATCCACGAGCTCACCCTTGGGTCCTCCTGCTTTTGCCGTCCTTTCATGGAGGCACAAACATCATTGTTTTAATAAGGAGATTGTCAACAACTGTTTATTGGCCTCTGCTATTGGCCAGCACTGTGGCAAGGGATACCCAAGAGAAACCAAACCACCTCCGCCCCCAAGTAGCCAAGTAAACATTGTGATTTACCTGCCAGTGTTTCTCTCTAATATAGAAGGTAACAACAAAGTGTGATATAAGGTCCTCATACACAGTTTACACACCAGGAGCTTCAGACTGGAGAGGCTGGGCGGCTCACCCAAAGAGGCACAGCTGAAAAGTGACCCCACCAGGTCTCAACTCCACTTTTCTGATGCCAAGCCCAATGCCCCCTCCCCAAATTTTGAGGGATGTAGAAATATACATTCAGCCTGAGGAATTTCCAAGGAAAGAGAGAGACTATTCATAGCTTAGATAAAGAGCTTTTATTGCATTTTAAAGAAAATTATAAGCACAATCCAATTTACAGTGTAGGTTATTCAGTTTGTGAAAATGACTAAAGAAAAAAACTTAGATAAAATTATTATAATATATATAGTAAAGAATGTTAATGGTGAAAGAATACATTTCCA